GTTAATAGCAATTAAAAAATCTGCAATCCTGTATAGGAATTGACACAATGTTTCATATAATGATTGATGACATATTTCACATGACGAATATTGCAATAATTGATATAATAAATGATAAAATAATTAATATAGTAATTAACACAAACTTACATAGGATTGGTAAAATATTTATTGTACCCTGGTTGAAATATTAATAAAAATAATAAGATTACTAACCGACACTTTAATTGGTATTTGTAACTGACGCATTTCTCTTCGCAATATAGCTGATAGTCCAGTTACCGCGCACTTCGAGGTTTCGTAGAGATTTAAAGGTGATTCCAGAAGCGCTGGTATATGTCCAAGAGTGCTGTTAATAAAATATTTAATTAGACATTTCTGTCTGAAATAAAATATTCACATTGAAGTTCACGAAGTTAGTGGTCGAGTTTTGTTGAACGCTCGGCCGAGTAAATACGTTATTCAGCGCTTGTTGTTATATCTGAATCAGTACATACATATGTATGTATTGGCTCTCATTGTCAGCCAAGGAATTGTACTAATGAAAAAACCGCACTATCATCTCTCGGCACTTAATAGTAACATGTAATAATATAGGTATAAATTTTCTCATTACCTATTAATAAAAAGGACATGGCCCTTGACTTGACGATTTCTCATTGACTTTATAGCTTCACGAACGCAAATTGCCCCAGCCAGTACATTTACGTCTAGAATGTTCTTCATGCATTCGGTATTACTGTCTGTGAAAGTGAAGTGAAATAAAATATTTTTACTCAGGTCTCCGTATCTCGTTACAATAAAGTCGCATTAAATACGAAGATTTCGGGGCCGGACGTTCTTATTTTTAATCTCAGCATTCTCACATCTCAGAACGTATTGTAGAACAGGACAAGACAGAGAGGAGGTGCGATCAAATAAGATAATTGGCAAAGATCAGAGATGAGACTAATGCTAATTCAAAAGCATTTTTTATTATTCAGTATTTTTTAATGAAAACTCCATTAAGATATTTATGACGTTCTTTTGATTAAATTTAAACCAAACATGATATGTAGTTTGAATTTTTTTTTAATTTAAAAAGCACCATTTATAATTACGTATTATATATCGATTGTGTATTATTAAATATTAAATATAATCCGAGATAAATCGTGTTTGGCCTCATTTAAATCAGAATAATCTCAGGAACAAGATAAAAAAGATTACATATAAAAAAAAAGCAAAAATAAAAAATGTTGTTATTGAGATGGTTGAACTGTTGCTGATTTTTGATGAATTAAATTGCATGACTTGAATTGAAATTAATTGATCAGTCGTGGTAAAAAGATAGGAGAAAGGGTAAAAATTTCGCTTTTACCGTAGAGTTCTTTCTCGCATTTAACGCGACCTTACTGTAACACGTATAAACGTAATTCTATGACATAGTCCTGATGAAATATTGTCGGAACGATATTCAACCGACGATTTTCCCAACAAAGGCCAGGCCGGCGTTGTTCACCAAAATATCCGCGCCGCCGAGTTTCTCGACCTTCTGGAATGCGGCCAGGATTTCCGGTTCCTTGCGGAGATCGCAGGCAATCGGATGAAACGTTCCTTTGGCACTTTTCATGCGATTCGCTAATGCCTTCATATTCTCTAACCTTCTGGCCAGCCCTACCACGTTTACTCCGTGTTCGAGAAGAGCCGCGACGATGCCCGCTCCGATACCGGAACTGGCACCGGTCACAACGGCTAACTTTCCGCGCCACTGATCCATTCTCGTGAAACTTCGTCCGCTTAATTCGACGTGAAACACGAAAAGCTTAGTCTTCCTTCAAATCGCGTCGACTTCGCATTCAGTCGTAACCGTTCTCATATATACGTGTTTCTTATCCAAGCTAAAGGGGAACGGGGTGACGTATATTTATTCGGTTTGTTGCGCAATGAACTGAAAGCTGAGTATTCCCTCATCTATTCTACACACCCTTATCGTAATTTATGCGATGAGTCTTCTTTTTACGCGGTAAATTATACTACAATTTACACCAGTGGTGACGGACCTTTTGGAGGGTGAGGCAAATTTTGTTTATTATTATTATTTTACATTATTTTTTTTAATAATAGTCCATGGGTCACTAAGTCAGTGGTGTCTCTTGGAACGGGGGTTGGGAGGGTGGAAAATGGGTACTAATAGTTTGGGAGCACCGAACATTTGTTAACAGAAAAACTTCACACTTGATCCCTTCTTTTGGTTCTCACTTTTAAAGTCCTCTAAAAAGATTTACGTTTCATTTTTGTTTTAAAATTTGTACTTTTGCAAGTAAAGACATGAAGTTCGATGTAAAATAATCAATGTAAATGGGGCGATACCATAAATTATTACACCAGCTGATACCATGCCCAACTAATATATGAGCGACTGTCATGAGTCATAGACAGGTGCAGTGATAC